ATCCAGCGTCGGTATTTTTTGTTAAGCCTTGCCTGATTCAGTAATCTTCTCTCGAACTGCATTGTATTCTGGGATATGAAAGAGCACTTCCTCTTTCTTTCTTTCTTCATCTCTTTCTTTCTTTCTTCATCTCTTTCTTTCTTTCTCTTTTTCTTTGTTGTGCGTTTAAAAGAGCTTTCTTTTCTGATTGTTTTGAGTAGCTGCTCGCATATGGTGCTTATACCTACACAGAATTTTGATAGTTTTTGGCCCAAAAAGAGAGATGAGGATAATAGTCCAGTAAACGCAAACACAGAAATCTTACCAATGGAATACATTTCTGCTCTCAGAATGCTTTCATGAACACACGCACAGATACGCACACAGGCAGACATACATTTATTTATATTTGCACGTGTCTGCTGACATGATACACACACACACACACACACACATACACTATATATATATAGTTTTAAGGCATGGTATATTTATGGGTAAAAGTCCTCAATATCAGGATGGAGCATGTGTAAATATGAGTGGACGCTGAGGTAAACACAGAATGGTGACAGTCTGTTCCATGACTGATCGCATAGCACGAAGATTGTGATCAAATATTAAACAGGTTGTCACCATTCGGTGTTTCACCACAAGGTCCACTTTCATATATACAGTGAAAGACATGAACAGAGATAGATAGATAGATAGATAGATAGATAGATAGATATCAGACTGAGATAGATAGATAGATAGATAGATAGATAGATAGATAGATAGATAGATATCAGACTGAGATAGATGATAATAGATAGATAGATAGATAGATAGATAGATAGATAGATAATTATCAGACTGAGATAGATAGATAGATAGATAGATAGATAGATAGATAGATAGATAATTAACAGACTGAGATAGATAGATAGATAGATAGATAGATAGATAGATAGATAGATAGATAGAATGAAAGACAAAGATTTAAATACAGCACTTTCTAAGAATATACGGATGAGCAAACAGAAAAAAATAGTCGCAAATATATTTCACTGAAAATTTGGTTAACTTGAAAAATGTATCTTGTGTATTTTCTAGTTGATAAACCACATGTCTTACATGGACAGATGTTTCTTCTCCCTATAAAAATTTTTCATTGGAAGCAAGTAAACATCATTTATTGGTATGTGCGTCTTATATACAAGTAAAAACAGTGGACATGATTCAAATATCTTTAAGTAGCATGGCCTTTGAAAGAAAATAATTGGCTTTTAATACTTTTAAAAATTAAAGAACAGAAACCGAAAAAAACACAAGAGAAAAGGCCCATCTACTTCAAGCAAAAAATTATAGAGAGAACAAATAATAATAATGATATGATGTGGTTGGGTACAAAAGATATTGGTTAGTAATACTAATGTTTCTAAAGATAAGATGCCTATAGAAGACAATACAATGAACTAGTTCTTAAATAATCTCGTCATATCGAGACTTTCATATGGATGCCACAAAACTCGTTCAGAAATAACGAAACAGCTGTATACAACTGCTTTCTGAAATCAATGGCTAAAAATGGCTTCGGTGAAGCGTATAGGTGTCAACAAAAACTATCCTTCTTCGTATCTCGTGGACTGGCACTACAGAATCACAAACAAAGGATTGTACCTGATAACATAATCCACATCACTTGATGATTTTCAACAGCAGCGACAACTAAATTGGAGAGTACATGTAACTAGAAAAGAGAATGATATAATGAAGACGTTAGGGTTTCAAACTACACTAAGCAAAAGGCAAGAAAGGAAACTACCATCAATACTGCAATGATAACAACAGCGACAGAACTTGAGATTCCTGTTTTCCTGAAAAATTGTTTTAATAGAAAGTTTTTATAATTTCAGCTCTCGTAAGTAACTATGGCTTCTTGGTCAATGAATAACGAATGTTTCCTGATAAAGAAAGGGCTTGTATTAACATTATCAAACGACTAATATTACAATAAACAAACGGCTAAGATTACCATTATCAAACGACTAACACTACCATTATCAAATGACTAATATTACCATTACCAAACGGCTAATACTGCCATTAGCAAACGACTAATATTACCATTGCAAAACGACTAATATTGCTATTACCAAACGACTATTACTACCATTACCAAACGACTAATACTACCATTACCAAACGAATAATTCTACCATTATCAAACGACTAATATTACCATTACTAAACGGCTAATATTGCTATTACCAAATGACTAATACTACCTTTGCCAAACGACTAATATTGCTATTACCAAACGACTAATATTACCATTACCAAACGGCTAATATTGCCATTAGTAAACAACTAATATTACCATTATCAAACAACTAATATTACCATTATCAAACGACTAATATTGTTTTTGCCAAACGACTAATACTACCATTGCTAATCGGCTAATATTACGAGTACCAAATGGCTGATATTGCCATTAGCAAACGACTAATATTGCCATAACCAAACGGCTAATATTGCCATTAGCAAACGACTAATATTACCATTATCAAACGACTAATATTGCTATTACCAAACGATCAATACTACCATTACCAAATGAATAATTCTACGATTATGAAACGACTAATATCACCATTACAAAACGGTTAATAATCCCATTACCATACGACTACTATTACCATTACCAACCGACTACTACTACTACCATTACCAACGACTAATACTACCATCACCAAATGACTAATATTACCGTTACCAAACGACTAATATTATTATTACCAAATGGCTAATATTATTACCGTTAACATGTGAAAATATGTTCATTTGCATGTAGAGCAACATAGATACGAAGACACTTATTCGCTAATCAATGCATATATACAAAGATATATACAAAGATATATACAAATATATATACAAATATATATACAAAGATATGCATGCCTTTTCTTTTGTGCTATGTCATTCAGGATGTAGGTCATCATAGCATTCCACAATTTCCTGTAATTTGTAACTCTAAATAAATTTAGTCTTGTTGTTATCCCTCCTAAAGCCTGTTCTACCAGCCATTTACATACCCTCGCTAGGTAGGTTAAGTTTTTCTCTGTCCCTCTTGCCTTAAATATGCCATGTGAGTATCAAATTTTCCAAGCCCTCTTTCTTCATCGGGTTTCCTATAAATTTTAACTCTCTTTTTCTGTTAACTTCGGTCCATGGTATTCTCAGCATCCTTCTGTAGAAATATATTTCTGTTGGCTCAAGTCTCCTCTTCATCTATGAGGAGATCGTCCAGCATTCATTGTCATATAGCCATTCTCAAAAAATCATATGAAAATATGATTTTCTCTTTCATTATCTGCGTGTGAAGACAATTGGTTTATTCTTATAAATATGTTTTTTCCCGAATTCTAGTTGTAGTTTTCGCCTCCTCTATCACAGCCGGATCATTATCTATCTATCTATCTATCTATCTATCTATCTATCTATCTATCTATCTATTTTTGTGTTCAATACATACCTGTCGCTGGTCTTTTCTTTCTTTCTTTCTTTCTTTCTTTCTTTCTTTCTTTCTACCTATCTATTTTTGTGTTCAATACATACTTGTCACTGTTTTCTATCTATCTATCTATCTATCTATTTTTGTGTTCAATACATACCTGTCGCTGTTTTCATCTATCTATCTATCTATCTATCTATCTATCTATCTATCTATCTATCTATCTATCTCAAACAGATGCTTTGTACAAACTAGAATCAATGCTCTGCTCTGACATCAAACGAAATTATAAATGAAGTTCACCGAGGCCCTAATAGTGTTCGTATCTAATTAGGATCGAACTCACTGCCGCAGGAAGTTGGGCACCGTGGAAACTTCTTAGCCATCACTCTACAGCAAAAAATACGACAAAAAGATACACCTGGGACATTTGAAAATCAATATGTTGAATTGTTATTTGAGCTTTCTTCAAATTGAAACAAATTATGCGTGTGTATTGGTTTGTTTTTGGCCGGCAATCCTTTAACAACGCACATACATAAGATTTTAGATTTTGAGACTGTGATTTTAAATGGTTTTTAAAAGTTTATTTTAAAAGTTTTAAAATGCCGAATTTAAACATCAGTCTACATACAAGCGCACATACATACTTAGAAACACACACACACACATATGTGTGTGTGTATGTGTGTGTGTGTGTATGTGTGTGTGTGTGTGTATGTGTGTGTGTGTGTATGCGTGTGTGTGTGTGTGTGTGGAGCCCCATTTCAGAATTTTAGAAAAATGCTAATAGATATAAACTGAAAATTAATCACACAGAAAGTAACTCAATTTTTGTATATTTCCGACTCCAAATATTTGAATTTGGTATGTATATATATTAACCAACCAGCAACGTCGAACGAGACGCACGGCGTTCTTTGAATTCTTTCTTTCTATGTGCCGTGTCCTTTCAGGATTGTAGGCGATCATGGCTCTCCACTTCCCTCTATCCCTTGCAGCTCTTAACAAGTTCCTTCCTTCTGCCACCTCTCCCCAGACCACGTTCTGTCATCCACTTGTTTAAAGCCGCTAGGTATGGCATGCGTTGTTTTCCCTTGTCTCACTTTCCCTTTATTCGACATTTGAGTATCAAATTCTCCAGGCCTTCCTTCCTCATTATGTGTCACAGGAACTTCAGCTGCTTCTTCCTGGTGTTAAACATAAGCCTCCTTCTTGTTTGCATCCTCTCTAAGACCTGACCATTGCTCACACGCTCGGTCCATGATATCCTTAGCATCCTTCTGTAGAACCACATCTACGTTGCTTCGACTTTCTTCTTCATCAGCTTACCTCCTATTTCATTGATCATATCGACTGTTTTTGAAGTTTGTTTATCTTTAAAAAAAATACAATGAAAAAAAAAATCACCGAACTAAAGAATATGAAACGAGCAAAAAGTGTTTTTGAGAAAGTTGAAATGACCCTTTAATTATTCATTAAAAGAGAAGAAAAAGTGACTAGAAAAAGACCTAATCTCATTCTAGATAGCAAGCGCTTTTGGAAAGTTGCTATCAACCCCCGAAAGGAATACTATCTTGTGTCTTGCGCCGCATGCGAACACAACAATTTTCATTAAAGCCCTTGAGAGAAAGAGAGAGAAAGAGAGAGAGAGAGAGAGAGAGAGAGAGGGGGGAGTGAGTTGTGTATGATCGTTATTGGCATAAGGCTGTGGCTAAAATTTGGCACCTAGATTTAATATAATAAATGATCAATAAAACCAGCTAAAGATGATGAATCCTCAACATGAATTTTCAGATGCCTTCGGCGATAAATGAATTTGAGGAGTAATTTCTACTTAGCCATTTTGAGGGAAAAAGCCAATTTTTGTTGATGAAAAGAGAAAAACGAGAAATAGACTTACTATTAATAAAATAGAATGTGAGACGTCATTCTTAAAATGAAGCTTCGTGTGCGATGCAGAAACTCATCTTTTATGGCTGATGGCATTATAAAAGATTTTTCTTCTATTTAGTTCAACCAATCAAATACTGAAACTTACTAACTAAATTTTAAATAGTGGAATATTATAAATAGAAGTCTCCCCGGGTCTTATAAGGGTTGATCGGTTAATGTTCGTAGAGCAAAAATATTATTAATTCATTCTTTATCTGAAACTGTCACTGAATAATGTTCGTTCTTAATTGAAGAAAATATAGGTTAAGTGCATTTGACAATGAAGATAAGGTTGAAATATAAAATAATTGTTCTATAAAATATTAGTTTGACTCATATATAATTTGTTTTCGTTCTCAACTCACAAAAAGGTATTTTTCTATATTTTTA